AAATTAAAGAAAATATGAAAATCTTGATATGAAGAAATGATAACATTGTGAATCTTCGTAACATTTTTTATTTTTTATATTTTATTTTGTATCGAATAAAATACTTGTACTATTATGTTTATAGATTGATTAATAAAAATGAGATTTTTTATGATTTACTTACGAATATTATAGTATAAGAAATATGCATATATTCATTTGAAAAAAATATGCATATATGCACCTAAAATGTTGATTTTTTTGTTAAAAAAATTAGAGTTTTTGTAAATATTTTAGTTTTTTTTATAAATTTACTGATTTTTAAAATTTATATATATATTTTTAAAAATGCAGCTTTATTAAAAAAATTGCAGTTTTTTTTTAAAAAAATTACAGTTTTTTTGAAAAAGTTACACTTTTTTTTTAAAAAATTGCAGTATTTTAGAAAAAAATGCAGGTTTTTTTGGAAAAAATTACAATTTTTTTTTTTAAAATTACTGTTTTATTAAAAAATTTGCAGTTTTTTTAATTACATTTTTTTTAAAAAAAATTGCAGTTTTTTTTTTCAAAAAAATTGCAGTTTTTTTTTTGAAAAACTTGCAATTTTAAAAAAAGAATTCAAAATTTTTAAAAATTTATGCTTTCCAAAAAAGTTAAAAAATCTGCAGTTTAAAAAAAAACGAAAATTATTTTTTTTTATAAAAAAATCCAAAATTTTGTTTTATAATGTTAATTTGAGAGCTTTTTATTAATATTTTCAATAATACAAAAAATTAAGTGAGATTCGTATGATGACGATCATGCCCTTAATGATTTGATTTTGATCCAACGCTCCACCTTTGGTTCTTAGGTTCTCGGGAAACTATGAGTTCTCAACGGATCTCAACCCTATATATATATATATATATATATATATATATATATATATATTATATATATATATTCCATTGAAATTTATTGAGTTCAATGCATTGTAGGAAGATTAATGTAGAGTTGTATAGTAAGTAAAATAATGATGTGTCAATCTATTATACTCTAATAAGTCTAATGCATTATGGATGCCCTAAGTTCTAACGTCATTCATTTTTAGATTTTTATTTTAGATTTTTAGGGAATTCTTATTTTGTTGGTAGTGTTAAATTGCCACGGTTGATAAATTTCTTGAAATGGTTTATTCAATTGCCACGGTTGATAAATTATATTAATTTGAAAATCAATATATATTAGAGACATCTTGGGCAACATATATTATCTAACTTCTAACCACTGATGGCATATTGTGATATGGGTTTGGTGTATTTTCTTGCTGAGAAAAGTGAAGGTTATTGCGTTCAAGTTCAAAATATTTTTCAGCCCTTACAAGGTGCATTTGTTTTCGTCATACAACAAGATAGTAACACATGATCGAAAGATAACATTTGAGATAAAGATGGATCCCAATCCATCTGTAGTGAATTTATATTCATCATACGTGATAGTGACACATGACCCAGGATTCTGTAGTAGGTGTTGCCGGTCCGTAATAGGTGTTGCCAATCCATAGTAGGTGTTGCCGGTGACACATTTTATAGTAGAAAAAAGAAAAAAAAAATCGAAAATTTTGTACTACATCGGGAAAAACTAGGTGTTGCCGGTGCCATCGTTGGCACCATACTAGATCCGTCCCTGACGATATATATGATGACAAAATTGTATTTATAATTTTAACATTTAGATTCCAATTTATGTTTTTAATGCCTATATATCTATATACTAATTGTTTCCAATTTTGTTATATCCATCGAATATAGATATGAATGAATTCTACTTAAAGTAAATTACAAAAATGTCCAATGGTACCTATGGTTTACGAAGACCTCTATGTTTAATCTACTTTTTTCTTCTACTCACACCAATGGTCCAAAATGTTTTGTTTGTTTTTGTTTTTGTTTTTTTTTTTTTTGGAATTTAGATCCTTCAAGTTAACTGTTGTCTTCTTATGTTTTGTTTTGTTTTTGTTTGTTTTTGTTTTTGTTTTGTTTTGTTTGTTTTTGTTTGTTTTTTTTTGTTTTGTTTTTGTTTTTGTTTTGTTTTTGTTTTTTTTTTTTGTGATTTAGGTCCCTCAAGTTAACTGTTGTCTTCTTATGCCTGTTATATCTCATATGTGCTCCCCACATGAGGTCATTTTCGTATTTTTAGGTTGGAAAACATATTGACCATTTTTGCAATGTATTATATCTATAAAGGTTGTATTATATCTATAAAGGAAGACTGAACATCCCTTTCATCTCTATCCCTTTCAACTGAACTAAAAAACAATCGACAATGATGATCTGTTATTTTGGTAAAGTGGCGATCGTGCGTACTTTGTGGACTCATGGCAACCCTGGGAGGCGATCATGGTGTTGCCCTAAACCAGTATGTATTATTTTTTAGCTTGTGTTTTTGAGATTTTTTTGTCCGTTCACATCTTTTTGAAGTTTTTCTTAATTTCTTAAAAGGATTCTACATATGCGTTTCTTGGCTCAACCTATGTGTAAACGAGCAAAAGACATAATTCTAGGATTATTGAAATCAATGAACAAACTTCATTGTTTGGTAAAATGGAGGACGAAGTGACCAAATTGAAGTTGTACCTAAGAAGCATATATTTTCTTCATGCTTGTCTATTTTATGTTGAAATAACATACATGTGTCATGGTTTTGTTGTGTAGGTTTTTGTTAAACTTGATTGTAAGTAAAGAAACCGTGTACATGCACCAACCACCAGGATTTGCAAAATTTTCTTGCCTCGGTTATGTTTGCAAGTTACGCAAATCACTATATGGTTTGAAACAAGCCCCATGGACTTGGTACCAAAGGTTTGCTCAATACCTTCTTAGCATCGGGTTTGTCTGTAGCAAGAGTGACAATTCTCTATTTACCTTTCGTCGAAACAACCACTATGCTTATCTGCTTGTCTATGTCGACAATATCATTCTTATAGCTTCTTCTCCTCAACTCAAAGCTGAAAGCATATATTCACTCAAGACAGAATTTGATATGAATGATCTTTGCAAACTTACATATTTCTTGGGCATTTTTGTTAGTTACTTATTGGGTGGTATGTTCCCGTCTCAATAGAAAAATACTACTGAAATCCTCAAAAGGGCTAAAATGGAGAATTGCAAACCCGTTGCTACACCCGCTGATACCAATTCCAAACTTAGCTCAACCGATGGTGATCCCGTTCAAGACGCATCAGCCTATTGACAGTTGGCCGGTGCCATTCAATACTTAACTTTCACTCGGACCGATGTCGCCTATGTTGTTCAACAAATTTGTCTGTTCATGCATGCACCCCGAGAACCACATTTGAATGCTTTAAAAGGGATCGTACGATATTTGAAAGGCACTCAAAATCTTGGTTTATATTTAAACAGATCAACACCTTACACCTTCTCAACTCATTGTCTACACAGATGTCGATTGGGGTGGCTATCCAGATAGACGTCGATCCACTTCAGGATATTGTGTCTTTTTAGGAGACAATTTGATCTCTTGGTCTGCTAAGCGCTAACCAACTCTTTCCCGCTCCAGCGTTGAAGCGGAGTATCAGCGTGTGACAAATGTTGTTGTTGAGGCTTGTTGGTTGCGTAATCTTCTTCTTGAGATACATACTCCTCTTAAGACCGCTACATTGGTGTATTGTGATAATGTTTCAGCGGTCTATCTTTCGGGCAACCCTATTCAACATCAACGCACCAAACATATCGAGATGGACATTCATTTTGTTAGAGACAAGGTGGCTCTCGGTCATGTTCGAGTTCTTCATGTTCCATCCGCCTATCAGTTCGCCGATATTTTCACTAAAGGGTTGCCTTGCCAACTGTTCTTGGATTTTAGATCCAGTTTGAGCATCCGTCCTCTTCCTGCTCCAACTGAGGGAGGCTATTAGTTGATATTGTATATATATTATTTGTATTTATCTTTGGAAGTCATTCTTCCCTTCATTATAGGGATTCGATTGTACTTGTATATATACAGATACAAAATTAATGAGAAGGCAAGGGAAATTCATATTATTTTATCAAGTTTAAGATTGTGTTGTGTGGTTATTTTGCTCAATCAAATGGTTATTTGTAAATTTTGATTGAAAGTTTATGATGGAGTAGTGGAACAATTTTTTGCATCAATGGAATGTTCGGTTGCCGATGAAGTGTGCATAAGTTTAAACCCAAGACATACTAAACTAGTATGTACCCATATCCAACATAATCAACAAAACAAATCTTAGCTATGAAACCAATTGTCAAGAATAATAAGTCTCTCACATACACAAGACATAATATTTATGTGGTTCGGTGAGTATGACCTATGTCCATGGGAGTATTATTATTCACATAGTTGAAAACGTTATCACAATCATACACGACGACCACTTTAAACCCTAGCTATTATCCCTTATATATAGGCAAAGTATACACATAAACCCTAGCTACACAACCGAATTGGGGCTCCATTCCGTTAGCTGATCGTCAACCAAGCTAGTTACTCAGCCAACTAGCTATGAATTAGTTACAGATCATCCAATTGATGGTTCGTCAGCTATCTAATGCTTTGCCAACTAGCTGATGGTCTTTAATTCTCAAATCACATTTAACACAATAAATTTTTATTAAAAATAAAAATTAGAAATAACGGCGACACCAATAATGACAACATATGCCAGTAGGCATTTCATCAAGTAACAACACATAAATTCAGCCAAAATATATTCCTTCCTTTGTTTCCGTTTTGTTAATACAATCAAACGGTTTCGAAATCCGATATACATATGTGCCTGAGGGAGGGATAGACATTTCATCAACACAACCAAAAATTTTGAAGATTCTCATCCCTTGTATAATGGGGTGGTGTAAATTTGACCAAAAACAAGATTTCCTAACCATTTTGTACTAGAAACATTTGTGTATCATTCATTCATGACTATGTAACAAAAATTTGTTCCCTTTCCCTACACAATCTAATACCATTTGCATGCATGTGACACACCCGATCCATCATGCTGCTGACAAAGGACCAGCATCTTCAGATTTCTTATGCTGCAAATGCTGCTGCTTTTCTTCATCTGTTAGACTGGAACCACCTTCCTCAGCCTGCAGCACCTGCTGCTTCCCTTTATCTAATTCACCGGATTCTTCTGTTTGTTTACTTCCCTCTGAAGATTCCCCAGGAGAAGAAATTACAGGTCCAAAAGTTTGATTCCAAGTAGGTTCTCTAAACTCATGTTGCTTTTTCTTTTCTTCTGATTCACCTTCTGTTTGTTTAGAACTAGATCCCTCTGATTTCCCACCACCAGAATTCTTAATTCTTAGAAAAGTTTGATCCCAAATAGGTTCACCAACCTTCTGCTTCTTCTTTTTGTTTGATTCATCATTAATAGCAGACTTCTTATGATCAATTAATTCACTACAACTAGGTTCTTTAAACTGATGCAGGAATTCTTTTAGTGCTTCTGTAGCAGATAGTTCTCCAGGCTGCATGCAACAACAAATTAAATCCCATTAAGCCCAATTCAATTATATGCAGTCTTTGAACAAGTTAAAAGAAAAAAAAAATAATTACATCACCTGTTCAGATATAACTGACTGAATTAACAACTTAGCCTTGTTAACATTTTCATGTGGACCAAATATATTCACTACTCTCTCCCATTCCCAAACACCAGGAAAAGAACCTTGTTCAATCTGAAAACCGACAGTTTTAGTAATAGCAATATATTTATATATGCTTCAAGATATTTAAATGAAATAACAAACCTTTATCCATGCACCAGACTCCTTTTCAATTCTCAAGAGATTACTCCTGTAGGTTCCAAGGAGCCGACAAACCTATATAAACAGATTCAGAGAAAAGTAGGCTTCAGACAATTAAAGACCAAAATGCCCTCAGATTCTGGTTTTAGGTCCAGTTAAGTGTATTTATATTTCTCACCTTGTGGAGGTGGATTTTGATGTGGTCCATATAAATTTCTTGTGGCATCAGAATTACTGGATAGCACAAACTACTATATGTCTACAGATAATGGAAACATTAGTCAGAAAGATGAAATGTTTTTTTTTTTTTTTTTTTTTTTTTTTTTTTTTTTTTTTTTGCAAAAACAAGGGAGTTAATTACCTTTAGAACATTCTCTAGGATGAGTTCTTCAGCAAGTTTAACTTCGTCAACAGTACCCACCAAGTCCAGAAATGAATGATTCAGAAGATTGGATTCAGCATCAGCGAATACTCCAATTGAGGCTTCTGAGATTATGTTAATGTCCTTCATCCCTTCAAAATCTTTGTCAATGAATTTGACAAGCTGTAAATAGAATTTTTAGAATGAGAATGAAAACTTGAGTTCCATATTTGTAACAGATGGAATGTACGTACTTCTTTATTACGAATCCGATATACTTTCCTATCAAGCTTTTCACCTGAAGCAATTGCCTCAGCTAGTTGCTGAGCTTTCCCATATTCTTCTGATAACCATGAGAAAATAATTGATAAAGAATGTATATTAATCAAACAAATAAATGAAATGAATCTACGCATAGGGATTATTTTCAAGAAATAGATTATAGAACAGAAATTTCATGGAAAAACATCATTGATTACAACATTCTTGGTGAGGAAATCACCTACGTAGATCATATAAATCAGATTACTGATACAAAAAACAACAAGAATCTCCTACAGATACAGATTAGTGTCAACAAAAACAATACAATAGAATTCTCTTGAAAATTAAACGAAATTCTTCAAATACAGATGAAAAAAACAATTATCGATCAACTTCTTGGACATGGAGGTTAGAATTCATCTCTTTACCGAAAATTTTCATATAGCAGCGATCATCCATGGGAACACCATTTGGGTTCAACAGCGATTGAAGTAAACCTGGATTTTGATTTGGATCTTCAATTTTGGCCTTCGCAAAATGTTCTTTTTCTGGATTTGGATCCATTTTCTTGCTTCCTTAGATAGATTGAGAGTTGAGAAGTAGAAAAGGAAGAATGCAGATGAAATTTGTTGTGTTGCGTGAAGTGATATGTGTTTTTTGAACACAGCGTTTCAAGAAAAAAAAGAAGACTGGCGGGAAATTCTGTTATTATTTGACATGTCACTGAAAAGATAATTAATAGATGTAAGTCTTTTTAAATATAATTTATTTACGATTAGTCCCTGTATGTATTATATAAATTAAGATGGGGAGTTCAAGTTCTGTTTTTGTAGTTGAATATGATTATAGGCAAATTGCGTTCAAATAGGGCCAACTCTATGTTAAAAAAAGAAATATACGAAGTAATGAGAAAAAAAGAGTTTTTTTTTTTTTTTTTTTTAATATTAAAAAAAATTATTTTTTTTTAGTTTTTTTTTTTGATGAGGGTAGGTTGAAGATGACCACCCCATATGTGAAAGTATTTGTTTAATTGAGACGTTTAATAATCTTTGTTGACTTCTCTTTTAATTCATGTTAACTTCTAATGAATGGTGTCACATACAATTCTCAATGGAAAATACATTAAATGCAAAAACAATTTGAATTGCGCCTCCTAAACTCCTAATTACTAATGACAATGGGGCAGGCATCGGGCGGGGTATGGTATCCCGTCCTGCATCCAAAACTAAAATGCTTCCGAACATGTACTATTTCCTCTTGGGGATCTTATGGGATAAGTTTTTCCCTAAACCAAAATCTGGAAAATCAAAAATTAAGGTTGCGTTTAGTTACGGAAAAATAATTTTCATTTTTCGTTTTTCGTTTTCCCTTTTCAGTTTTCAGTTTTTGTTTTTAGTTTTCATTGGAAAATTTAGAAAACACGTTTAGTTAAAACTTATTCATTTTTCATTTTCGGTTTTAGAAAATTAGAAAACGTCTTTAAATGTGTATATTTCTATCGGTTTTCATTTTTAGAAAACGGTAGCGATGGTAGGGTTGGGGTGGGGGCAGCGGCGAGGGGCAGTGGTGGTGCCGATGATGGTGACAGTGGTGGTGGTGGCGGCGGTGGTGGTGGTGATGGCAACGGTGGTGATGGTGATGGCAGCGGCGGTGGTGATGTAGGTGATGGGGTAGTGGTGGTGGTGATGGTGATGGCAGGTCGGTGATTGTGGTAGTGGTGTTGGGTGTGTGTATGTGTTTGTGGGGGTGTAGGTGTGAGCGGGGGTTGGTGTGTGTGTGTGTGTTTGTAGGGGTGTGGGGGTGGGTGGGGGCTGGGGTTGGGGTGGGTGTCTTTTATGGGTGTGGGTGTGTGTGCGGGGGGTGGGGGGGGGGCGTGTAGCTGTGGCTGTGTGTGTATGTTTGTAGGGGTGGGGTGGGGGTAGTGGTGTATTTGTGGTTGTGTGTGTGTGTGGGGGGGGGGGGGTGTTTGTAGGGGTGGGTAGGTAGGGGTGTGGTAGGTTGGGGGTAGATAGAGGTGAAAGTGAGTGTGTATTTATATTTTAGAAAAATTTTGGAATTAGAAAAATATGGAAAATAATAATTATTGGTTTTCCAAAAATTTCAAACTTCTTTGTAATTTTAGAAAACGGAAAATTTTCATTTTCCGTGAAAAATTTATAAAATTAGACGACCTAAACGCGTTTTCAAAATTCTCATTTTTTTTGGAAAATTTTTCTGAAAAACGGTATATTTTTCTGCAACTAAACGCAACCTAACATATTTTTGGAAAAAACTAGAAAAATTAAACAGTTAACCGAAAAAACTAATATTGTAACATAACCAAGTACAAAATATGGAAATACTAAGTCCATAAGTTTATTACAAATTTACAATAATTTTAGCACAAACATCAAATCATCCAAAATTATTGTTTTATTTCAAGTGATAAGTAGTTTGCGTGATTGGTCTTTAACTTTTTTATTTTAAAACTTGGATGATCCTTAAAACTTTATTCTATTATGTATGCTGTCCCTGGTATACATGAAAAAAAAATCCTTTTACCCTTATTTATTTCTTATATATATATATATATATATATATATATATATATTATATATATATATATAATATATATATATATATATATATATTATATATATATATTAACATCCGGATTCCCAGGTATCTTAAATTATGTATTTTATTGAGTTTGGAGAGAGACTCGGCGAGTAGGCGCTCAGACTCGCCGAGTAGTAGAGTCGCGAATCTCCATCCGGGTTAATGACTGGACTCGGCGAGTCCATACGTGGACTCGGCGAGTCCACGCTGTTTAATGAAACCCTAATTTCTCGGGTTTGGGGACTATTTAAAGGCCCTTATGGCCGCCATTTGAGGTCACCAGTCATAAAGAGAAACCCTAGAGTGCTTGAGCGTTTTGGGAGAGGAAGGAAGCCATTTTTTTGACCTTGGGAGTGTTGTTTAGCAAGAAGAAGGAGGTACTAGCCAAGAGGAAGCATAGGAGATTGCTATTCTGTGGATTTGGAGCTAAGATCTTCACATTTGAGGTAGTAATTCGACTCCCCTTCTGTTCTTATGATGATCATATGGATTTAGGGTTTCTTAGACCCTTTGTTGCTTAGATTTGAAGCCCAAATAGTCCCTTATGATGAGGAGGCTTTGGATCTGGATCCATAGAGGTCCAGAGAGCCTTATTCATTAAGCTTTTTGAATAATAATGGAGGCTATGGCCTTGAGTTATGGTATTTGGGGCTAAATCATCATATATGATCAAATAGATGTTGTATGTGCATCAAGATGGAAACTTTACGTGGTTATTGGGTTTGGGAATGATAGATCTATTGGTTAGAGGACTGGATCTGACCTCGGGAAGTTGTTTGAGGATGTGCATGAAATGAACTCGCCGAGTCCATGAACGGACTCGACGAGTAGAGTCGGGTAGCCCCGCGACTCGCAATCTGTGACGACTCGTGGAGCATAGGGTTGACTCAGTGAGTCGGAGGGAATTAGAGGACTGGAGTTCAAGGCGGAACTCGCCGAGTCCATGAACAGACTCGGCGAGTTGAGTCGGTGTGGCCCTGCGATTCATGCCAGGTGTCACCCGTCGAGTAAAGGGAAAGACTCGACGTGTCATGCGAGATCAGAAAGATAGTGGGCACGTGTAGACTCGCCGAGTCGCCCAAGTGCACTCGGCGAGTCGGGTCAAAGTTTGACCGTTGACCTTTATTGACTTTTAGGGTTTGGTCAACTTTAGGGTCTTTGAGCCATGAGAGGGGTAAAATGGTCTTTTACCCTTCTGAGAGTACTAAGAGGAGGAATAGTCTAGCCTTGAGAGATGTATTGATTCAGAGTGTTTATTTCATATGATTAGGCGGAGGCTAGACCCGACTTTACAGAGTTCGAGCTTTACCGAGTTAACCGAGGTGAGTCTTCTCACTATACTTTACCTAGAGTGGTAATTAGAGCTATGAGACAGAGTATTGTGTATGCTTTTGCATGATGTGATTTCTATGTGTTATGTGCTATGTGTTACAGAGTTTTCAGAGTTAGGACCGGAAGGTCCACATAGTTAGGGTCAGAGGACCCATAGAGTTAGGGCCAGAGGGCCCACAGAGTTATGGGACTGGGGGGTCCCACAGAGACACTTTGACCAGAGTGTCAAACAGAGTTATAGCCTCGAGTGGCTAATATGTGTTATGTGTGGTATTTTGGGGAACTCACTAGGCATTTATGCTTACAGTGTTGTGTTATGTGTCTCAGGTACCAGCGAGGATCGCGGGAAGGCGCCGGCTTGATCAGTACACACGCGGGGAGATTTTATTATGATCTTGGGAGATGATGTTATGTGATACAATGGTGTTTTTATAACGATTATGAATGAAAACGTGTTTTATAAAATGTGAAAAATTGTTTTGAAAATTTGGGTGTTACAAGTTGGTATCAGAGCCTTGGTTTGAGGGATTCAGATTCATCTTCGGGCGTATCTGAACTCAAACTGAGGATTTGAGAGAAATTTTGATGACTAAAAACTTTTTAAAAGAGTTAAAAGAGTTTTGAGACAAACAGAGCAGAGCCGTGTGTACGATCAGCCAGCGCCCGAACGGTGATTTCCCAAAATACCCTTGTAATTAGTGTTATGAGATATATTATGTTATGATATATGATGTGTTATGCTATGAATGCTAGAGTAGACTAGGTATTCTTATTAGGACTAGAGTGGCCTGATATGTGATGCCTTAGTCTAGGAGTTTTGCTGCTAGGGATACTTGAGAGTGTTTAGATAGCAGCGAGGAGTTTATGAGAGAGCTGCTAGTGAGTAGCATATGGTTAAAGAGAGTAGAGTACTTGGGACTTGGGATCCAAGGAGGAGGACTTAGAGTGGATGCTGATGCGGTGTGGACGGTAGTATAGGGCCCGTACTACTGAAGACACCGGAGCAGTGCGCACCCTAAGTAAGAATCCATTGGGTACTAAGGAGCAAGTAGGGTGGAGTTATCGAGTGCGAGTATACTCGAGCGAGTCCCTGATATTTATTATGTTGTATTTCAGAGACATCATGGTTGGGACACGCCACACACCAGAGAGCAGCGGTACTAGTGATGAGGAGATCCGTAGGATCATTCATGAGGAGGTGGCTGCGGCCATCAGGGCAGAGATACCAGAGATGTTCGGGTCTATCAAGACCACACTGATAGAGACATTTGACGAGAGATACGCTGCTCTTTCTGAGGCTGCGGTTGCTGCGGCCACTGCAGCTATAGCTGCGACTAGGCCGCAGGGTGGTGATACGTTGCTGTTTCGTGAGTTCAGCAACACAAAACCACCGGAGTTTGATGGGACCCAGGACCCGATTGCAGCGATGAGGTGGGTATCAGACATTGAGGGGTGTTTCTTTACTTGCTCATCTCCAGAGCATTTGAGAGTCTGGTTCGCGTTGAACCAGCTTCGCTTGGGAGCGAAGGACTGGTGGAAGTTTGTGACGGCGCACTATTCGCCTACTGAGCTTGTTGCAGTGACCTGGGAGAGGTTCACTGCTATGTTCTGAGAAGAGTACGTTCCCCAGGTGG